AACACAAACATTAACTGTCGTATATGATTTGATGCAAATGAACTAACCAAATTAATGATTAGTTATATATATGCGAACAATAATCTAATCTGGGTCTACCTCTACCCCTCTGAACTTCCGTTTCTGCCTTTAATGTCTTTGACTTGACCTTCATGCCTGAGAAGGTCTCTTACCAACCTATCTCGCTTATTTCTCATTAACTTCCATAGAGTCCTCTGTTCTCCTATTCTTTCTAATACCTCTTCATTTTTAACCTTCTCTATCCACGGTATCCTCATCATTCGCCTGTAACACCATATTCATCTGCAAATCTAAGAAAACTACTCTTTTGCGCCTCTATATCTATCCCTACAGTTGTACTGTTTTTAATGATGTTAATCACGTCTTCGATGTGTAGATTAAAAACTAGCGGTGACAGTGTGCATCCTCGTCAGACTCCGTTCCTAATATTTACTTCTCTAAGGAAAGGATAATAGAAAAACTTTATAGTGCAGTAGAATCGCTTAGATGATACGATGTAGAAGTAGTCCTGACCCGAAGCACAATTTGTCGCACGCTGCTTGTCGCTAATGGTATTTCCCATTTAATTGTACTTGTGATATTCCATGACGGCAATAATAGCAGTAATGGTAAATACACGAGATTGACGTTAAGATATTCGCTACAAATAACTTTGCAATTTAGTACAGCTCTGTGTGGAAAATGAGTAGCGCACAGTATTAGCAAGTGACGAACATTGAACGAAGAAACATACGTTAGAATTAAGTACCAATTACAAACGCTCGGTATTTAATTATACAATGATAATTGAGTTTAGTTCAATTGCATCAAGATTATTTTTTACCTCCTCTTCACATCAAAACACCTTGAAAACCAGAAATTGTTTTCAATATGGGACTAGCAATTTTCTATTGAGTTACTCGCAAAATAAAACAACAGACACCAACCGTGCTTAAATATTTTATAACGTTATCAACAATTACTTTTCTTTCCTTTTCAATTGGTAAAATGGGTAGAGTCTCAGTTTTGATTTTGGAAAGCTTCCTTTTCATGAAACAACCAAAGCGCAAATAACCAAGAAAAATCTTGGACTCGAAACAGACTCAGAATAGCTACATTTTACAATAAAAGTACTGTCGACTGAACCACCACTTGGTATGATCTTCTAACGCCTTCCAAGTGGCGTCGTAGTCATAAATTCTCCAAAGGATTGTCTCCTCCGAAGAAAAATTATGAGATTTGAAAAAATACCACCCTTCGTCTGTTGTCTTTAATCTCACCTTGGTGTCTGACACTTTGGGGTTCAGGTTATTACACATTTCTGACAAAAAGGAAAATAACAATTGCTTACGGAAGTATTTAGTTGTAGATTCATAAAAACATGTTAGCCCATGTTCTCAGGCTAATATTTATTCAGAGATAGATTATGGACCTATCATGCCATTACACAGGGGTAGATAGTAATGCTAATTTACGAGCCATCCCTCTAGATGAAGGGTTGTATTGAAATTAAAACTTTAGAACTAAAGCTATTTTTCATATTGGTAAGTTGACAAAGCCTGCGACCATATTTACTATTTGACGTTTCTTTAAACTTTACAAGTCAGAAACTGCTCCCCTTATAAAACAAAAGTCGTAGTGTAGTGTAATAAACATAATCCAGAAGTAGATGAATAGCATCAGTGAATTAATTTTTGAATTAACTTTACCAACTACAGATAACCCCAAATTAATGGGGAAAAATTGTTGCTACCATCACTTCAATGGGTCGGCAATCGAACCTGGACCTCTAGTTTTATGCATAAGTACTCTACCATTAAGCTGCGAGGAGATAACAGCAGAAACACTGATGATACGTACTTAAGAATAGGTTGTTGTCACCTCCTCGTGGCTTTTGGTAGAATATTGGAGCGTAAAAGTAGGGTCTCGGGTTTGATTTTCGGTTAGGGAATGCAAGGAGCAACAATTTTTAGGTATCTGTAATTCAGTAATGCATTGAATTCGACCCTACAAAAATTCAAACTGTTTTTCATTACTAGTTCAATAGCTTTTCAGAAAGGCTTGCCCAGTCGCTGTCGAGATATAATCTACGTTCACGTTGTCAACGCAGCACTACCACCGAGGATTTCAGCCGCAGTAGCTGACGAAACGTCTGGATAGAATAGTTCACTTAGACCACGGCCCTATAGCCCGAATCTTTATTCTACTATGGATTCCGGCCGTGAAAGCCTTTGCTCTCATAAAAGGGTTGTTGTTTTAGAAAATACTACAAATGGCGCAGTAAACGCCATCTATAGCACGATGCTACATAGCAGTGCTACAGGTGGCGTTTACTGCGCCGTTTGTAGTATTTTCTAAAACGCACTGTCAAGACAGCAGGTAAAAGTTGGTCTGTGTTCTGTTGGAGCGGCCTGCGACGCGCTGATGAGATTCAAAAAGATCGAAATCGCGTGTCGACAGAATGCAGACCACTTCGAATTATTTTATTCGGGTTGTTGTTTGTTTGATAGGCATTTGGAGAGGATTTCTCAACGTTGTAGGTTGTGGCGTTATTTACTTTAATGGCATGCTGAATCACGTGGTTCCGTTATTGTTACAAATTATCAATTTTGATATGCTATTTTACGTTCGTAACACTGTGTCTCAGTCTGCAGGAGCAAGGTATACATAAGTAGTAGTAAAAGAAGTTTCCAAAGCAATATTCCGCATGTTCCCGTCGACCCATTCCCAGCAGAATGGCGTGATTATGCGATGTAAATAAAATTAAATAATATCGTAAAACTGAACGGACACGGCCAAGGCATCCGAGCGGCGGGAGCGGAACTAGAAAATGCTTTTTGAATACCAAATTAAACGTTTATTTGTAGTCAATTTAATGGTAATTTGCCTCGGTAAATATATCGCGATCATTTTATAAATAAGCTGATCTCGCCCCAAGACAAAAAAAAAAAACGCAACGTCTGATATGTAATGACGCGAGCGATCGCATCCGATACGACGATTCCTCTCTTCTGCTCTTCAAGTCGCTCAGGATTGTACACCTGGCAGATTATCGTTGTCAGATTTTCTTCAGAAACTTCCTTTCTGACATCGCCTTTAAAAAGCCATCTGACAACATTGAGACGAATGCACTCACTAATTAAAACCAGCTGAGATCAGAATCGATCATATGTATCTCCGCAATTAGTTCAGCAAATTACGGCAAAAAGTAAAACAGCAATAAACACGTGGCAGGATTACTTTTTTACGCTTTTGTATATTAAATGTGTACGTACTGTTCGTTTCAAGAAGTTAGATGTATGCCCCTTCCCTTTATTGGGATACGCCGTAGCATAATTCCAAATTCAATCATATTTGTCTGCCGAGCTCATTTCTCCACCGATCATCGAGCGAGAACTAGACAAAAGTGTACAGTACCATTTGCAAAATTATTTAAACTGCTCGTTAAAATTTAAGAATATGCTTTATTTAAAAGCATATTTAGCCAAAAATAATAACAAGTGAAATAAGTTAACGTTCTACACACTTATAAAACTTTTGCTTTGATTTCTATTGTTAATTTATATACATTTTTGTTTTAAGAAATTGCTAAACATTTTCGTCTAGTACTGTACAGTTCTAGCGGATCTCCTAAGACCGCCTATCGAGAGCTCTGCTCGTTCAAGCTTGTTCCAACTATTTCTGTCTTGCTCACGCCTAGTGTGTATTCTTTCTATGTTCGCGCAGATTTCTCCAAGGTCACAATTCTAAGAAATTGAAATGGACTGTACACGAAGGTACTTCACAATTTTAGTAACAAAAAATGTCATTTAATAAACGATTTGTACAGATGTTAAGTAATAACAAGGAGGACGACACAATTAGTATACTAATATTTGTACACATTGCCGCAATGGTTTACCTTAATATGTTTGTAATACTTTCGTGACTTGGTTTATTAACACGAAAATATTAATAATCTCTGTTTAATTCTCGAGGTTAAGGTTGTTAAGTGTGTATGTTTGGAGCGCGGCGATGTACGGGTGCGAAACATGGATGGTGGGGGCGGCGGAAAAGAAAAGGTTAGAAGCGTTCGAAATGTGGTGTTATAGGCGGATGATGAGGACACTGTGGATAGAGAAAGTTAGAAATGAAGAGGTATTAGAAAGGAGGTCTATGGAAGTCATTAGTTAAAGATGTGGAATGTTCTAGTTTTAGGGAAATTAGAAGATTAGCTCAGGATAGGAAGGAGTGGAAGTGCGTGTCCAGCCAGTCTTAGGACTGACGACCTTTTGATGATGACGCATCTTGTAAACCATAGGGTCCAACAATTGTTTAGAATATTTTTGTGTTGAAATAGATACCTATGTTTCATGATAATAATGAACCTAAATCGGAGAATTCGCCAGTAGCTTCGCGTTTGCCATGTTATCATGGAATTGAACACAGTAGCAGCGTTTCAAAACACGTGCAATTGTTTAACACTTAGTTACACAGACGACGTTGCCGTTTGCGTATCTTTTTCTGCGAATGAAGTAATAAATTTAATCAATTAGCTCGCCTTTGCAGTTGCACGCTAACAACCTGAGAATTCTTTGAGCATACAAATGAATTGCATCTCGTTACGAGACGATTTTTTGTCTCTACAGAGATTTCACTATCGGACAGCGTCCTCAGATAACTAATAAAATAGTACGTAGATTATATTTAAATACAGATGAAGCAAGAAGTAAACTCAATCACTTACTTGCTTATCTTATAAAAAAAGGCATTTAATCGTAAAATCCATAAATTTCATACTGAAGAACCAAAGCCACTCAATATCTTAATGACATTATTGCAAAATGGTTAAAAGAGTTATGCTCTGAAAATGGACGAAATGGAGGCTATAGGGGATGATGGTGTTACGTATCTTTAAATGATATTCCCATTATTTATTATGAGGGACTGAAAATTCTTCTAGGCATCCCTCCCATGTTTTTATTTATTAATAGGGTTTTATGAAAATGGAAGTGTCTTACCTAAACACCCCGCAGTAAGAATGCAAAGTATCGAAACCTTGGTCGGGAGGTACGACTCGTTCGAGAAACCTTGGCGTCAGAGCAAGAGATGCAACTGCTGCCATGAGCCACTGGTCACCCAGTTCTCCAGATTCCAACGATAACCGACATAAGTCCCCATTGTTCTCACTCATGAAACGAGGTCTCGTGCACATTTCCTGAAAACAAAACAGAACAATGATCCATCAACGGTTTTAAATAAATTAGACAGACGGTGTAGACTTTTAACAAACAAAAATTCGAAAACTATGACCGTTATATCATTTTGAAAACCGGAACTTACAAATAATGACATTAAATTCCAAAAATTGAGTTTTGAGTTTATGATATTGTTTCAGAAGAGGAGGTAAGGCTTCTCTAGTTTCTGTGTTCCTCCTTAAATGGTTCATTTGGTTTTTTTCTTCATTTACTCTTATTTGTGAGATCATTTTTATTGATCCCAGTTTGAATGACTCTTCGAACACCAAGAGAAGATTGAAGATTATTGACATTATTAATACTCAATCGTATTGATCCCTATTTGAATCACTCTTCGAATACCAAGAGAAGGTTGAAGATTGTTGACACTCTTAATACTTAATCGTATTGATTGCAGTTTGAATGACTCTTCGAATACCAAGAGAAGATTGAAGATTATTGACATTATTAATACTCAATCGTATGGATCCCAGTTTGAATCACTCTTTGAATACCAAGAGAAGGTTAAAGATTATTGACACTCTTAATACTTAATCGTATTGATTCCAGTTTGTATGTCTCTTCAAATACCAAGAGAAGATTGAAGATTATTGACATTATTAATACTTAATCGTATTGATCCCAATTTGAATCACTCTTCGAATACCAAGAGAAGGTTGAAGATTATTGACATTATTAATACTCAATCGTATTGATCCCAGTTTGAATGACTTCGAATACCAAGAGAAGATTGAAGATTATTGACATTATTAATACTTAATCGTATTGATTCCAGTTTGAATGACTCTTCGAATACCAAGAGAAGGTTGAACATTATTGACATTATTAATACTCAATCGTATTGATCTCAGTTTGAATGACTCTTCGTTGAAGATTATTGACATTATTAATACTTAATCCTATTGATCTCAGTTTGAATACCAAGAGAAGGTTGAACATTATTGACATTATTAATACTCAATCGTATTGATCTCAGTTTGAATGACTCTTCGAATACCAAGAGAAGGTTGAAGATTATTGACATTATTAATACTTAATCCTATTGATCTCAGTTTGAATGACTCTTCGAACACCAAGAGAAGATTGAAGATTATTGACATTATTAATACTTAATAGTATTGATCCCAGTTTGAATGACTCTTCGAACACCAACAGAAGATCGAAGATTATTGACATTATTGATACTTAATCGTATTGATCTCAGCTTGAATGAATCTTCAAACACTAAGAGAAGATTTAATAAGTTTTTGATCAACATTCTGTCTGAAGTACATTTCGATTTGAAATTGGATAGGTGGTGAGTAAGCCCATATCTTCCAGAATCCTAAGCATTGGTTTAAACCCATAATAAGTAACCCCTGCTCAGTATATTGATATAATAAATTACCATACAGCAATAGCTGCATCCATCTAATTTCTAACTCATTTTATTCCTATTGTTAGGAGAGTCACCATTGCTTATTTATTTATAAAAATAAATGACTCAAATCTCTAAATGTTTTTATTGATTCCATACTTACTTCCCGTCTTTTTATGACAACAATAACCGTGTTATTCTCCTTAATAGTTTCGGCTCTCACGCTTCCACAATCGTTTCGTGTTTCTACAGCTTTCTTGTATCCATCATGTCCGTTTCCTTTTCTTCTTTTTCTTTTTTTTGAGATTATAACTTCGTCCACATACTTGGGACGTATGTACGTATAAAACAATCGGGTCTTGGTATAATTGTTCGTGTTCAAAGTGCAAACACTTGTCGAACAATGGTTCTGGGCAATCATTGTTTGCTCGTAGAGAAAACTGGACCGCCACAGTTGGACAGGCAGTTAACAGACAGACGTGCAATGACCCCTTTGACACGGTTGCCAATTTAAAGCGCAATTGAACCGGACTTGATCGATGTTAAGTTCTGTTTTCAATTTTCTTGCTGTCCGTTGCTTATATTTTCTTATTTGTTATTATTGAACGAACGGCCCGGCTCCTCCGTTGATCTGATGTGAAGCAGCAGCAATTTGATATTAATCGGCAATAACGAAAGTGATTCGCTAGCTGCTGTGCTTTTGCAGGCGGTGGATGAGACGATCTGATTTTCATTACGGATCGGACAGGAGAAATGTTTCTATTAATCGATTGCAAAATTATTATCGAACAATAAAGGAACCTCTAGAACGACTACTTTGAGATCTTGGCAGATCGGTAATTGAAAATGCATCAAAAGGTGTTTTCAGATACACTAGTGTCTTCGTTATATAAAAAAGCTCGTTAAGGAACGGAGTGGGGTTGCAAATGAATCAATTAAATTACCTTTAGGTCCTGAGGGCCAGGAAGATCGGGAAGATTTCAACCAGGATTGTAGTTTAAGGATCATAGTCTTCGTCGGTGTTTCCAATTAATAAAAAATCCTGACAATTCTTTCATTGTGTAAAAAAAGAGAATATAAGAGTCAATAATTTTTACAGAAAATTGAGAAAGATTTCTTAGAATCTGTTAAAATGACGTGAAGTTCAAGTAGGATCCTAGTTTCAAGAGTCCATCATCATTAGTAAGAGTGAAGAAGAACTGTGAAAAGTAGAAGGAAAAGAAGCACTCAATGAAATTGTTTCAAAGGTCGGAAAAGTGTCAGTATCACTTATAATTCTAATTCTCAGTCTTCAGGATCATTTAGCGAATATATTTTATGAGATTATGAAACTCAGGAAGTCTACAGAATATTGGAAAAAGTTCCTTTATACTTGGTATAATAACCAAAAAAAGTTCGATGTGGAGAAGCTTTTTGTTCTAGCCGAACAAAGGGAACGGAAGCGAGTGACTAAGTAGAAGAAGAACAAAACCCGAAGATCAACGATAAAATCATTAAATCCTTGTAAACTGCGTGTTAAGCAATCAATAAATATCCAGGTGTTAAAAGAAGCGGATGGGATGGCGTTTCAACTGATTTTATCTATTGATAACCGATAAAAATTGCGCAATTTATACGAAGCGGGAGCTTTAAAGCTGTCACACGTGGAGTTACGACGCCTTCGGAAGTTAACAGAAAGCCGACTTTTAGATTTAATTGCTAACTTATATCGCCTAACAGGCTCCTTCTTCTCTACTGGTAAATTATCTAATCTTTAGTTTATTTGTGCGTGGGTACGACCGCCTCCCCACCTTTCCTCTGCATGGAATCGTTCTCCTCATTTACCACTCCGAAGTCTTTACGATTATTTGGAAACAATGTTTTCCCCGTCCTATTATTATTATTAACCCAATCGGCGAATTCTATCGCGATTATTCTACTACCACGAATGAACAATCCACGATCCGGACATAAAACATTGCACAATTAAGTTGAGAGAATGCAATTGCATATCTCTCCTGCATTACCGAAGCAGCCAACATTTGCCAATGGACAAAGCACTTTCGAAACGCGGTTAAAAAGTTGCTACAGGAGGAAATTAGTTTTCATTACTATGTAGATCCTTAAGCAATCCATTGAAAAATAAGCAAGATGTTCACTTATACCTACAGTCGACAGACTGATCATCGTCTTGAGCTAATCTTCGCATTTCCCTAAAACTAGAATATCTTGAACTATTTACGTATAGTAATCTAATCTAGCTCTACCTCTACTTCTCATATACCTCTGACTAGACCTTCATGCCTGAGAAGGTGTCTTATCAACCTATCTCGCCTATTTCTTATTGACTTCCATAGAGTTCACTCTTTTCCTATTCGTTCTAATGCCTCTTCATTTATAACCTTCTCTATCCACGGTATTCTCATCATTCGCCGGTAACACCACATTTCTAAGTATCTAGCACAAATTTCTGTGTTAACTATTAGTGCTTAAAATACTTTAAATTATTATTCTACATTAATAAATAGTTCAGCTTTCAAAAAACGATGTTCAAATTTTAAACAATTGAGTAATATAATTTAAAGTTTAGTAACTAATCCAACTTCGAATTCAAGAGCACGTTATAGTACCTATAAAATGGTTGTTAATTTTCTACTGTGTAAACACCAACCATGCAAAACTGGTGTTTCAAAAATAGTTTTCGAACTATGTAAAAAAAACTTATGAAGACTCCAACAAGATATAATTCCTCCAAAAATTCAATTCCTTTTTTTGACATTTTGACGATCCCAAAAGATACCCTCCTTTACAATAACTGACTTTTAGGGTACCTAAGTATTATTAAATTGCTTGGAATTTATAGAATCCTAAAGCAACTTCAGGATTCCTGAGAGTCCTCAGCCAGGTTTGCTGTAACTGTTTAGTTGTTTTGAACACTTACATGTGGCCTCATCCAGATAATTGGTTGCAGGGAGGGTTTTTTATGATGGTAGAGTGCCTTCACTCCCGTAGGAAAATCAGGATCTTCATAAAGAGTCCCGCGTTCCCTGCAGCTTCTCCTCACTGCTTGGTAATTACTTCTATTTCTTTGATTACGCTCTGTAGTGCAATATCTGGAAAGAAGAAGTAAAACAATTAATAATCATAGTTTAAATTTAACTTTTGAAACTCCCTCATAGTAAATATTGGGATTTTATTGCTTCTATTAATCACTATTAGATCTACAGAGCTGTAATGTTTCTTATTTTATGTTCGGTACTTTGGCAATTAAAATGGTTTTTGGAATTAACCAGATGGACCCACTAATTCCTTATTTTACTAACAATAAGCTGATTCATATTTTGAATAAGAGGAAAGCCTAAGTCGATCCTTGAGACCCTACGGCCGATCCTTATGCGATTTCTTCAGAAGAGAACGGACCGTTGGGATTCTTTTTATGTTCATAAATCATTCTAATGTTACATGGTACCATTGACAGTCGGTTTTGAAATGTTTACACGCAAAGTCCGGTTGTCACTTAACCGTATCCGCCGCGGACTTGTAAAAAATTACTTTGACATTGTCATGCACCATGGAGACAGAGACGGGCATGAAGAATGTCGAACAAGCATATCAGACAATATTTGTTACATAACTGTCCCGTCTGACAATATCCCTCTCTCTGTAACGCATGAAACGTCGGCCTGTCTCGCATGAAAAAAAGTCCGTTCGAAATGCGGAACTTCAACTGTACGATGCACTTGTTACTCGATTATTATTATTATTATTATTGCAAAACGTTTTAGACGAATTATTTTCATCGTCATAAAGCATTCTATGTATTACGGTACAGTATCGTAAACTTGCTAAGGAACGAATTTCGATACAGTTACTGACGCGCACATATCATTTACTACGTCAGTTGGTTAGATAATTAAAAATTAACAATATTTTCCACATGAGTTGATAACACTGAATAAATAAGTTAATGGTTCGTGTATGACATTAGTATTTTAATGTACAAAATAACGGGAAGTTCTAATGGATTGACGGTCCATAATGGGTATAACATATTGTACGAAGAAAAATAGAATTACGCATTGGAAAAAGTCAAGGGGCAGTGACACTCATCATCATCGTAAGGTCGTCAGTATTAAGACTTGTTGGACACGCACCTCCACTCTTTCCTATCCTGAGCTAACCTTCGCATTTCCCTAAAACTAGAACATCCTACATCCTTAACTATTTGCGAATAGTAATCTAATCTAGGTCTTCCTCTACCCCTCCTAACTCTTGTTTCTGCTTCTATTATGTCTCTGACTAGACCTTCATGCCTGAGAAGGTGTCCTACCAACCTATTTTGCCTATTTCTTATCGACTTCCATAGAGTCCTCTGTTCTCCTATTCTTTCTAATACTTCTTCATTTCTAACCTTCTCTACTCGGTATCCTCATCACTCGTCTGTAACACCATACATTTCGAACGCTTCTAACCTTTCCTTTTCCGCAGCGCAATCTTCAATCAATTGAAGGCGACCTACGCCATCCTCTGCTTTATAGCCCTACTACTCCTTCCGTTCTGACTTATCTCTCTTCCTAGGTACCTAAAATCAGTCACTTCTTCGGATTTTTCTTTTTTTTTGGCAGTGACTCTATCGTTCAATAAACCCACTACATTAAAAAGTTTCAAATTCAATCTCATTTTCATTTCTAATCTTAGAAAATGAATAAAAACAGAAATTAACAAGTTATGGGGATGTGTCGTCATCTATATACTTTTGCATTTACTGCTGAAGTGTTTCAAATATTTGACGAGGGCCTTATGCAGGCCGAACTGAATATACGCCACGGCTTATAATATCCGTGATATGCACCTAAATCTATGTCTGTAGCGTGCCGATGAGAACTAATGAGTTCAAAATTACTATTCATGTTTAATACTTTCTATTAATTGCTGACCAAGAACTTGTTGTTGTTTAAAAATTAACAAATTATCCAGTATGTTGTGTACCGATGCAGTTTTGCAATGACGCTGACCTAAATAAAGCATTGGAAGTTTTGCATCTCAATGTATTGCTTGTGTGATACGATCTTCTAAGATTTTGTCTGAATAATACATATATTTCGTTGCAAAGTGATTGAATTACGAGCGGATGGTACAGTTACTCTTTCCATTGCGGTACGGCAATGGGCTGTTTCTTAGTCCTTTTACTTCCATTATCGCGTTCTGTAATCTTACCGCGGCGCGGTCCAGAGCAATTTTCTGATCCATCATGTGTGAGGTCAAGGGTTGCAATTTCTCATAATCAGATGTATATTTCCGAGGGCTTCACACGTCTTCCAGCATTCTAGTCGAATTAGTCAGTTATTTTCCGATTTTCTATGTTCTACAACGTTGCCAGATGTTTGCAATGCAAATGGCTACAACTATCTTCTCGATTAATTTGTGGAATGAATTAAGGGTGCAGTATGCCTGGGAGATGGAACTGTTATCATCATTAACGGCACACAAATGATGTAGACCGCGATGTTTTCTTTATTTTTACCTTATTCAGCGACAAAATGAAATTCTAATTAGTCTTTTCGACGATAACCATTAACAAGCAACGTTTAAGTGGTCAATATACAATTGGATAAAGTTCAGTTATTTAGAAAACCACAACAGAGCTCGACAGGGAAGAAGAGACTGATATAATCGGCAACAACGAATGGAAATAAAATTGATTCAAACTACGAATTTCTTAACTTCACGTAGACACGCCGTTGACGTATAAATTGCGCAAATTGGTTCTGATTGTTCTTTATTTGTCGGTTAGTTGGTAGTAAGTTGAAAACCGCCATAACCAGCATTAAAGTGCCCCCATGTGATACTCTTACTACTTACAACGAGGCATGGATGCAATATCTGACAAGTGGGATGATTGCGGAAGTAAAACTGAAAATTGATTACATCTGTAAACGTTCCAAGTATATTTACTTTCAACTTTTCTTCTACAAACGGGGAAATATTCAGTCAAGTGACTTATGAGTCTATTATTAGTAATATTAATTCAAATCAGAATTACAAAAAGGGAAAAAGGAGAAATGTTTAAAATCCTTTGAGTCAACACCGTTGTGACAGGATTAGTTGAAGGCTGTGACATTTGTTGCAATAAAGAAATGTCGAAATCAATTCCAACAGATCGCTGCTTTCATTCGAGAATGGCTGAGGAGCAATAGCCCTGCGAGTCTTTTTATGACGTCACCATTTTCATGGTAACGTACTCGCGCTGGCAGAGATGTGTCTCCATAGCGCCAAACTCTTCACTTCGGGAATTTATTAAGTAACTGTGAAGGACAATGAATACAAGGACTATTTAAAATACTAGAATGCGATATATTCAGATAAAAACAAAAAATAGTTATTGATTACAAAAATTACATTTAGTTTCTGTGAGAAATACATCTCGATATTATCCAAAAATCGCCACTGAGATCCAATGAGTGATTATTATACGCATCATTCTAACTCGACGCTTTCTAAATAGAGCATGACTAATTCTACTGACAGGCTAATTACCATTAACAATTTATTTCTTTGGAACCTATTTTCAAATATTATTTTCGTAACCGGGTTTTGAACTTTTGCACTTGACTGATTACAAACAGTCCAGCTTACTTCCGGACCACCGGTATCGTGAGCTATCTCTAGGTCAGTAATGTCATGCACATTACTGCAATATCATCCACATTTCTGTGAACCATGACGTCTGAATTTTAATGGAAATCAAAACAAAAATGCAATAAATAATTATAATAACGAACATTTCTATGAAATACGTGTAGCAAATCTTGTGGTGCTTGGAAAACATTTAAATCCCACTGAAAAGCAAACTGATTATTCAGGATGCAAGTGAAATAAAATCGGTTTTGTAACAATTTCAAATCATCATCATTATCATCATCATCATAAGATCGTCAGTCCTAAAACTGGTTGGACACGCACCTCCATTCCTTCCTATCCTGAGCTAACCTTCGCATTTCCCTAAAACTAAAACATCCCACATTTTATTATTATTAACGAACAGTAATCTAGGTCTACTTTTACTCCTCTTATATCTCTGATTAGACCCTCATGCCTGAGAAGGACTCCTATCAAACTATCTTGCCTATTACTTATCGACTTCCATAGAGTCCTCTGGTCTTCTATTCTTTCTAAAACCTTTGCATGTTTAACCTTCTTACCACTTTTCAAAGTATTTAGCACAAATTTCAATGTTAATTATCGGTGCTTAAAATACTTCAAATTATTATTCAACATTAATAAATAGTTGTTTTCAAGAAACGGTGTTCAAATTTTAAACAATTCAGTAATATAATTGCAGGTTTACTAACTAATCCAACTTCGAGTTCAAGAGCACGTTATAGTACCTATAAAATGGTTGTTAATTTTCTCCTGTGTAAATACCAACCATGCAAACCTGGTGTTTCAAAAATAGTTTTCGAACTACGTAAAAAAAAACTGAGTTTATGAAGTCTCTGAGAAGAAATGTAACGATAGGCGATGTAAAATATTTTCCCACATTTGAATTCCCATTAAATTTAAATAACACTTCAAGGGAGAGTATTAAGTCGACGTTTACGAAGTTTTTAAGCGTGTCAGAGGGATAAAATAAGCGATGCACTCGGTATCGGATGCGTCTTAGAATAGAGGAAAAAGCCGCCATTACTACCGGTTAGCTTGCTCGTAAATTCATCATAATTAGAGACGTTTTTTTCACCATAAAACTGAAAGATGCTGTCTCTTGATAAGGTATGAAATCCGAAGTAATGAGCGGTAGAACACAGACAATGTGCCCGGTCATGAGCCTCTGGAATGTAGAAAAATATATCTACTACATGCAGCACTGCACTGCTGGCTTCTGCACTTTCCAAACGACTTCTCACGAGTGAACAAACGACTCCAATAAAGTCACCACCTTTTTATCGACATATTGTGAAGTATTGCAAAGTGTAAATTCATAATTCATCAATTATAACGAATTTCAAGAACTGATAAACTTAGTTTTAGGTAACTCGACTGCAGAAGATTAATTGGGGAATTAAACTATTTAGAAAATTGGCCAATTGTGTAGTTTACGACATTATCTATGAAGATGTTTCGAATACTGCAATATTACCAACTGTTACAGTTACAATGAGTAGTTTACAGGAAAGTTTGTGAAGGATTTTATATACATATAATTTAGACATCTTTGTGGTTGTCACCTCTCGTAGTTTAGTGGTCAGAACATTGGTGCGTAAAGCCAAAGGTCCCGGGTTCGATTCCCGGCGGGGGTGTGACAACGGCAACAATTTTTCCCTCATTAATTTGAGGTAGCGTGTAGTGGGTAAAAAAAAAATTCAGAAATTGAATTTTCAGTATAATATTTCATAGGATTTTACGATTGGAGGCTATTGTGTGATGCGTATTTGTTTGTGGGCTTTTTGGTTATTGTTTTTCCTTGCGTTTTTCCTAGTAGCCTCTAAGCGACCTGTAAGACATTTTCGGTCAAAAACGAAGATTGGTCCTATTGTTAATGTTTGATATATTGTAGACCTTCAGACTCCATACATCCGAGGGAAAAATACGTAATCCTAAAATGTAGCATCGTGCTGCAGATGGCGTTCACTGTGCCGTTTGTAGTATTTTCTGAAACGCACTGTTAAGACAGCAGGTAAAAGTTGGTTTGTGTTCTGTCGGAGCTGCCTGCGACGCGCTGATGAGATCCAAAAAGATCGAAATCGCGATCCGTGTCTGGCAGTTTCGACAGAATACAGACCACTTCGAATTATTTTATCCGAGGGTCAACTATATGGATTCCGTAAATTTTGAGATATACTTAACTTTTGGAAATTAAAAATTGAGAACAGTCACAATTAAAAATATTAATATAGTCTAAACCTCTAAACTCCTCATTGTGAAAACCACTTAAATGATAACTTCCACATGGATTTAATTATCTAAAAAATTTTTCAAAAGGTCGAAATTGAATTTAGACGCAGAAATTGTTCAGTTGAGGAGGTACCTCTCGATATTAGTAAGGATGTTTTTGTCCAGGAATTAATATTACATTTTCGCTCCAAATAGCGCAAGTACTACGACGTTTCAAAGCAGATAATTTATTCGTAACATTCCCTCAAGTGACCGCTATTTGTTGGTGTAGTAGACTTAAAAGTGCCATTATAACTGGACATCGGAGCGCAATGTAAATAGCGAATATTTTCCGACTCTAGATACGTGAAGTTATGTGTCACACACAATCAGAGAAGGCCGGATAAGAAAAAATCGAATTGCACTGCTTGCGCTCGCTTGTTTGGTAGTTACATTGCGTAACATACCGGATCATGATGACAGCTAGATGACATACCTTACGGTATCCGAATTCTGAAACGTTCCATCTTCTGTCTTTTTGTTATCATTAGAATCACGGAAGAGATGGAAAAACGGTGACATTCTCGAGAAAATGGTAGATGATTTGGTGATATATATGGCAAATTCTTTTTATCACAAATAATACAACACTACAGGAATAGAAAGCCGGTAATAGGCTTATTAATGAATATTAATTTCTTGGTCAGTAATGTGTCCATGCAATTGGGTCCCATGAGGTCCAAACAAATGATAGTATCTTCAAAAATGTATATATGTTTTTCTGACTTTACAAATTCCATGCGCGTCAAACTTGAGAAAATTTGAAAGCAATTGTAAATTAAATACAGTAGATATTTGGGAGTATGTGTAGGATGGATTGCATCATGTGTATTAAAGATAGGAGACGAAAAATTAGAAGAAATGACTGATGTTTGGTATTTAGGAAGTCAGATAAGTAAGAACGGAAGGAGTAGTAGGAATATAAAGCAGAGGATAGTGCAGGGTCGAGTCGCCTTCAATAAAAAAAAGTCACTTCTATGCTCGCGAACAGTCAATTTAGAAATTACAAAAAGATTGTTCAAGGTGTATGTTTGGAGCGCGACGCTGTACGAATGCCAAACATGGACGGTGGACGCGGAGGAAAAGAAAAGGTTAGAAGCGTTCGAAATGTGGTGTTACAAGCGAATGATGAGGATACCGTGGATAGAGAAGGTTAAAAATGAAGAGGTATTAGAAAGAGTAAGAGAGCAGAGGACTCTATGGAAGTCAATAAGAAATAGGAGAGATAGGTTGGTAGGATACCTTCTCAAGTATGATGGGCTTGTCAGAGAGATGTTAGAAGCAGAAACAGGAGTTAAGGAAAGTAAAGGTAGACCTAGATTAGATTACTGTTCGCAAGTAGTTATGAATATGGGATGTTCTAGTTTTACGGAAATACGAAGATTGGCTCAGGGTAGGAAAGAGTGAAGGTGCGTGCCCAACCAGTCTTAGGAATGATGACATTATGACCTTATAATGATTAAAAGGCTCCTTAGCAATCAAAATTGTGTACCACAATAGTTCCTCTGCATAATTTTAAACGACACAAGTCCCTTTTGTTGTTTAGACATTTTCTTCATTGGACTATCATCCACTTTTTCATTCTACATTTCCAGTTAGTTTAACAAATGAATTTATTTTGAATAAATTACTTCTTCTGGGAATATTTATTTATTTATTTATGTGGTTGTGAATGTATTCCGATCAAAATAGCAATCTAGTTAATTTTTCTTGATAAACGTTCGCCTTTTTAGTTACGGTCTTCTTTTCCTTTCGTCTCACGCTCATTTTCCCGAGCGAGCGGTTTAATCCGGGGTGGCCTTGGCGGTCAGCGCACTCTGGACTGCGTCGCGTTATTTAACGACGGAGCGCGCAAACTGTGTGGACCACCGCGCGACTCGCTTCTTATAAATCTTGTCGACTAATTGTAGTGCAAAAAGCGTTAGACGCTACGGCGATAATTTATCTGCTCTCGGCTATCATTTTTTTGAACAGATTCGGACAGTTTATGCGAATAAATTAGACTATTATGAAACTATGCAGGCCTAGATCAGACGTGGTGTCCAGTAAAGTAGCTCTGAAGCAGGGTAAAGTTGGGTAAAACTGAACGAATCCAATAGTTCCTTCGTTTTAGCCTACTTTTATTACAGGAACTGGTAAAAATAGTTAAGAGCACACAATTACATTTTCAAATTTTGAACTAGACAACACAATTTATTTTACTAAAACTACACCACCATCTACCAAACTTCTCATTGGTCAAAAGAAACTTCTGATGTTTGAGGATTATATCAATTCAAGCAATGGTGATAAGAAATAAAGAAAACAATAGTAGATTTTCAGTTCCTCGCATAAAGTTCTTGAATCCAAAGGTATTCAGTGAATCATTTTAATGTTCACAAAACAATTCATTCATCAGCTAGAGATCCATCTTGAAGAGACGATCGGAAACAAAAACTATCCAAAATCTTTGCTTTAATAAGCAATAGTGATAAAAAATGAAGAAAAAAATTATTTGATTTTCAGTTCCTCGCATAAAGTTCTTGAATCCAAAGGTATTCAGTTAATCATTTTAATGTTCACAAAACAATTCATTCATCAGCTAGAGATCCATCTTGAAGAGACGATCGGAAACAAAAACTATCCAAAATCTTTGCTTTAATAAGCAATAGTGATAAAAAAATAAAGAAAGCAATAGTAGATTTTCAGTTCCTCGCATAAGGTTCTTGAATCCAAAGGTATTCAGTGAATCATTTTAATGTTCACAAAACAATTCATTCATCAGCTAGAGATCCATCTTGAAGAGACGATCGGAAACAAAAGTTATCCAAAACATTGCTTTAATAAGGTTTTTAATCTTTGGAAGATCAGGATTACAGTGTGCTATTGGGGTACTTAATCTGATAAATCCTTTTTGGGAAACAAAAGATTGATTACAATAAAGGATTTACCAAATTTCTATTGAGGAGGAGTCGGGTGTAGCAATAAATTATGAAATCGTGTCTTTTTGTAAGTGTCCAAGACTTAATATTTAGGAAAGCACAGAAAGCCATAATGTTGTCTTGTGGAAGTTTACCCAAAAATTGATCTTCTACAATCTCAATGAAAATTTCTGGCAGATAAAATCCTTTGGAGAATCAAAGCTTGCCGTAAAGAAAATATATTTTGTAAACATATATGACATAAATGTAACATTATTTTGACAGTCCGTTTAGTCCAAATTTTCGTTCGTTTTTCTGGTCATGTTTGCATACACCGCATTACCGTTTTCATTGGCTCCTCAGATTTCGTTTGCCCTCTTTTTCCTATCCATTTTGTTCGCGACCGCTGCGGGTGTAACAGCATTCCTGCTGCTGGCGTCCGGTAATTTGCAAAATTTGCAGGACCAATTCGATCATCGCAAAAAATCCCATACATTGCCAATCGTAGCTGACAATGGCGAAATACTGGCGACCAAAGACGAACTTCTATTCCACATAGACATTTTAGAGACCAAACTCAAGAACAAAGCAGCCGAATTGGAAGCATGGAAAGGGAAACTCAACAAAGCTGAGATGGAAATGCAAAAGTTGAACAATGCCTCTGGAGAAGTTAGAAGGTGAGCATTAGATCAATTACACAGGTCAACGAAATTCAGTATGGAAAAGGAAAAGGCCAATATCGTTCATCTGTGTTCCTAACATTTTGTGGCATACTTAACCATGACCATTATTTGACCTTATTAACCTTATTGAGGCTAATCATCCGAAAGAAATCTAGTGAATTGCGAGTTTAGTTGATACCTTTTTTGAAATATTCTGATTTTTCCTTGTGGGAAACTTTTTGACTGTTACCACATCAGATCGCATAGATGTTGACCTTTGCTCCTTAATAGGAACAAATACTGTACTTGGATCTTGAACTATAAACTAGGTTATGTCAGTTTCTGATAGGTAGGGAATGGTAGGATTCCAAAGGTCTTGACCTAAACATTCCCAAAAGGTATCACTAGATCCCCAATTCAATGAATCCTTTTCGGGGGATTTACCAAAATTAAATTATCTTTAGACATTACATGAAGCTGAAAACGGATGTTGCTAAGACAGAAGATGATTGCAAAGAGATCCAAAATCAAATCGATGAATTTAGACGACGACAAGCTGAAATATGTCCAGAATCAGCAGACAGAAGAGGACATTCCTGCTCCGTATTAAGTGGTTCCAAAGGAATGAGCAAAATAAGAAGCGACACTCCTCCCGAAGCTTATGGTAAGGGTAACATATTTTAATCGAATCAGAAAAATGACGTTAGAAATATTAAATTTTGCGTTTGTACAATTGTCTTGTGAATAATGGAACTGTCCCAAAATAAATGTGCCCGTGTATTATTTGTAAGTTGTATGTTATAATATATGTAATCGATTCATGAAATTGTTTTCTTTTAAACATTCATCCAAAAACGGAAAATTTTGAGATGACGGTCCACCAATAGCGCTGCCTCAAATTTAGTATAATTCCTATTGCAATTTCTAAAAGACTTGTGTTTTTATAGGAAGAATCGCGACAGTCATGAAGTCATTAAAATGTCTGTCAACAATCCTGCAATTCAAAAAGTTAGCCGGAGCCGTGTCACAATTATTGATAACTACTTTGAGTTCAATAGGAATTATACTACCTCGTGAGACATCCTACGGAAGAAGAAGAAATTTCGGACATGCATCTAGCTTAGATTATCAAAAGAATGTCAGCCACGACACTGACCGTTGGTCAAAAGCAACTTCGAATTTCCGAGGAGGAAAGGATTATATCTGCATAAGAAGCGGTGATAAAAAATATATAAAAGTAGTAAACTTTCCCTTTCCCTCAAAAAATCCCCCACCTACCCTCTTATCGAACATGGTATTATGGGCGATTAAACAATTACGAGTTAAAAAAGAAACCAAAGATCGTGCAGTGAATTATTCCAGTGGGTGCCATGCAATTCCTTTATCTACTGCAGGGCCAACTAAAAGTTACAATGTCGAACAGAGACTAACCGAAAAAATCGCTGACAAGTTAAAGACGTTGATAATTTTCCAATTCATGGAAGACGATCAAAAGAACAGGGTCCAAAATAAAAACTCATTTCTAAGTACTGATGGATATAGAAAATTGGCCAAATCGCTGGTATGTATCTAATAAATAGATTGACACAAAAGTTCCTTTTCTTCTATTTACAGAAGGTAAATGACTCCCTTTTCTCACGGCTGCTTTCTGAAACAACGAACAAAACCGAAAGATCGCGTCGCATAAGAAAGCAGTTCTGCGAATCTTCTTTTGAAAACCGACCGATGAACAACAACGAAACACTTTCGAATTCAGAGGGAGAGACAGAAACTCAAATTTCGGAAACAAAGCAAAAGGGAAAACATTGCAACTCGGTCCATAACAATCTGGAAGGAGTTGAAAGCCCTTCAAGTAAAAGTAAATTCATCTACGTCAGGAGTAGGACAGATACCGAAGAATCATCAAAAGATAATGGAAAGACTAATGAAATTGAAGGATCGACAGAGAAGGTTTACAAACTCAAAGACACAGATTTTACATCCCTACTGCAAAAGAGACGCTTAGAGGTAATACATATGAACGATTCGGAAATTACGGATGGTGAATGTCGGAAGAACGAGAGTGAAACTCCTTTCCACTCGCTTGATTTGTTAAGCATAAATGAATGCAATTCAAAACAGCAGCTCTGTACCATGAACAGCAAAATAAGTTCGATAGAGAGCGAATCGCTAGTAGAGAAGAAAGTACGAAATCATCTTGAGTGTATCAAAAGGGCAAGCTCAAAATCTTCATTTGATCACAGCTCAACAAACAGGGATTCCTTTTTCAGTCCAAAAAACAATATAAAAACGAGAACCGCGTTTAGTAGACTTACTAGAGATCAAATGTGTTTAGTATCCATCTTACCAACGCAAATACCAGTGAGTATTGTTTTTGGCAAACAACAAACGAAGACAGAAGCTGTAAGTTGTTCGTTATTAAAAGTTGGATTAAGTGAATCTAAAAGAGATCCGTCTAATACAAATTTTTCGTCCTCTTCCGGAATAAATGAAAAAAAGAGTCCTGCAAATACATCGAGATCGCCTTTGACGTTACAAAAGAGAAGTCCAACGGCTGTTGACATGAGAAAGGTTAACACGTACTCAAAACTACTCAGTAAAGTAACGTACTCTTCGCAGTATGCAAAAAATTCGAAAGAGCTACTGAGCAATCCATCAAATAAGGTAGCTTCAGAAATAGAAGAAGTGAAAGGGATGAAACATCGTAATTTATCGAAACAAATGCAAGCAAAAGGAGTGAAGACAACCCCTATCGCTTCCGTGCAACGAGATAGGTTAGACGGTAAGAAATCTTCTTCGAATTCGTACAGTGCATCAAAAGCTTCCCTGCTCATTACTGAAAACTACAATATGGAATCTCAAAAATCGTTAAAATCATTCAGAGAAGACAAACATTCTAATCTGGAAGAATCAGCAATGGAAAAGGAAAATCTACCCACCCCTATGTCAAATTGTACATCTGAGACAAATAGCAAAGCCGAACCGAGTTTTAAATGTGATTCGTTGACTTCAGACTACAAAGCACCAAAGCATTGGCAGGCAAATGAATGATGTGGATATTAGGAAACTATTTGTACAAAACGAGAAGGTGAAGCAAAAAGCGATTCACTAAAAATATAGCGTATATATAAAAAAAAACGAAAAATATTTCTTTAAATAAGTGTACTTAATTCGTAATTAACAATAATATAAATGTAACTGTTGTTAATAACAATATACTTCGTAGTAGCTTGCATTTTGTTTAAGTTACTCTAAGCAAAGTATCCAGTAATTACAAAGGCCTTACAAAATTAAAAAATGTGCAAAGTAGTTCAAATGCATCACGCTATTTACCTGGAGAGCGTGGATGTTCTGTCGTCTGGTTTATGTGAATGTCCATTCATCCAAGGTCGATTATTCGCTGTGACATCTGCAACAAATATAAAAAAATTTGTAGAATTGGACGTGAAAAACACCAATCAACTTTGTCTGCACAATACACAAGAGTCTAGAGACGATTGAGAGGATTCTAGAACTACTTCAATCCAAATAAACACTGCAGTACGTTGTAGCAATAGCATGCAGACACTTTACTAACTATTAACCTACCCAAAATTATTAATCAAGCTTCTAAAAACATTAATTTTTCATATCTGTGGTTTAATAGTATCTATCGTAAGTTTTTATGGAAGGTAACTTAGAGAAATACCTCTGAACAAAAAAATGTCTATTTAGCCAAATCATTTACGTTGTCATTATACGAAACCAATTGGAAAATAAACAGATACGTTCCTCAAATAATAATAATAATAATATAAAGATGAATGGAAGAGGCTTTGAATATAAAGCTTCACGCATATATTTTCCCGTATTTTCATAGCTCTTCATTTGGTTATCGCGCCATTCAGGTGTTTTTCTTTCTTTCAACAACAATACAGTTACAGAAACGGTTCGCGTTAGATTAAATCGTTTGCATTTTATCTCGCGTGGAGTATATGTAATAGTGGTCATGTGTATGTGTGATTGCCATTGTGTCTGACCCCGCGGTTGCCTTACATGTGTATACATATACCTACCATGATTGTGTACGTATGCAAATATTCATGGTACAATGCCGACAATGTTGTTAGTGATTTTTCTTCGCTTATGTCCTCCTCTTTTCTTTTTTTTTTCGTTTGAAATTGCCGCTTATATCGCATAACTGGTCAAAGTGAAGGTGACGTAGAAAGTAGAACACACAATTGCAGGTTATTATAATACCAAAAGTAGACTCCAACATACCTACTGTATAATTACGACTGAAATTCACGATATTCATTATGAATTTTTGAAAACGTTTTGGACTGATATTTAAAATGTACTGTTTCTATTAGTAATGCTACAATCAAGTCAAAAAAGACATTAAAGATTATCAATCTCCAAAATCTGATAGAAAACCTTATGATGTCAAACCAATTTGGTACAAATGAACTAATAGTATTAAACACTGAAAACAAAGGAACGTTAGGAAAATGTGGGAGATGTAGGTGACCAAAGTGTCCATGTCTATACGTTTCACCCCTATACGCGTATAGAAATGGTTTTCGAAAGATCAAGCAGACTTTTTAAACAGGTGACATGATCGCCTGTTGCTGAAGTGATACATATGTCAATTTCTGGTGCATTTGAACTACTATTTCTAAATAATTTTATACAAATGAACTAAAAGTAATAAACACTGAAAACAAAGGAACGTTAGGAAAATGTGGAAGATGTAGGTGACCAAAGTGTCCATGGCTATACGTTACACCCCTATACGCTTATAGAAATTGGTTTAGAAAGATCAAGCAGACTATTTAAACAGGTGACATGATCGCCAGTTGCTGAAGTGATACATATGTCAATTTCTGGTGCATTTGAACTACTTATTCTAAATAATTTTGTATAACAACATTAGGATATCAATTAAAAAAGAATGTATGTATTTTATTTGTCATTTATTCAACTAACATTCCAACCCCTTATTTCCTAACCGCTTTCTTACATGTAAGTTTTGGATTACATCGCCATTTGAAGTATTCTTTCGGGAACTAACCAATAATAAGTACAAAAGGTTTGAATTCAAATACGATTCTTCTTTAATGTAGGTAGTGATAATGTAATATACGACTATCACGTTTTGAATACAAATTTTCTCGTAAAGCGTTGAATGAAAACAAGAAGTGTGTTGTTATTTTGAGGATACGTTACTGAATTTGAAATAGAATGACCATTGACTATTCATTTTATTAAAGTTACTGTTACCACTAGATGAGAACGTGTTAGGCGTTATAAAAAACATAAGTAATTTATTAAATATCTCTCGCTAAGAATATTGATGGATGAAATTGACGCAAATTGTTCGAGTATCTAACAATAAAAATTAAGAGACGGATGTGCTTCTTTGACCAATACATGATATGTAGGCGCCTATCATGTAATTATAAAGTAGAAAGTAGGTGAACAAGCTTTTTGTTATCTGCAGCTAGCAGAAAACTACAAATTACAAATAGTTTGGAAATTTATTCAATATACATAGGGATTATAGCTTCTTTAAGTAGATGCTTGGATTTATTCGGTTTAATAGAATATTAATTATTATTATTATACTCAGGCATTAAGGTCTAGTCAGAGACATATTAGAGGCAGAAACGGAAGGGGTAGGGGTAGACCTAGACGAGGTAGACCTAGAATAGATTTATGTTTGCAAATAGTTAAGGACATGGGTTGTTCTAGTTTTAGGGAAAAGCCAAGATTAGCTCAGGATAGGAAAGAGTGGAGGTGCGTGTCCAACCAGTCTTAGGACTGACGACCTTATGATGATGATCAATCTTTTAATTTTTATTGCCATTTCTATTGCTCAAATTATTGGAAAATGTAGTTAATTGAACTTCAATTATACTAAATAATCACCTTCTCGGGAATTTTTAAAAATTCTGGTTCCCGGTTTGCTTTATTCCATATCAACCTACATTAGTCCTAGTTTTTTGCTAACATAACCTTAAAGCATAAGCAAACTAAGTTTAGATTTCTCCAGTATCTTCTTTTTTTGAAGCCAAAGAATTACTTTTGGAGCACACCAGTTTAAGTAATTGCAAATTATTCTTCGTTCATACATTGTATAGGTACGTTCACCAGAATGGTACAGTATGTAGCGGGGCAAGTACGGTAGTAGTACTAGTAGTACTTAGTAGTTGGTGGTAGTGTGGTGCACTCATATAATTTACGACAACATGCATGCAAGTTACATACACGTATAAGTAGGTTTCGTACTTGGATCGTAATTGGCTCTGCCCATTTACGACCTAAGTACTTCCTTGCGCTAATAAAATAAATTTGTTGCAAGAAGAAGACGAGCTATTATTATTATGAAGTGGCGAGTGGTACGACGAAGAAGACGATGGACCACCTCCGACGAGTTCCGGAAAGTGTATGTGTATGTAGGTACTTATTAATGTACGAAGACTCTATGTAATACAACACACATACATACCTGTCAGTTTGAATAACAACTGAACTGAACCCACAACGGATTGGAGACCTAGGATGGGAGAGAAGTCATTAAGGAATTGGAATAACGCGTGAGAATCCTCTAAATAACCAAAATTTCTTCCTACTGCTAAGCTTCATTTGTTTGAATCCTACTTTTGGAAGGATGATGAGACTTCATATTAAGTAGGTACTTTAGGGAAATACGTAGATTACCGAAAATTACTAGCGGATTTAATGTGAACATTTCTTTGATAGGAAGTTTTGATTAGGGGAACTAGCCCTTGTAGAAGTGTGTTGTTTTAATTTGACCATTTAACAATAGTGAAAAAATATGGAATTATTTGCTGGTTCAAATTATTGCGTACAATGTCTTCCTTTAGGAAGTCTATTTTAAAGCCTACATTCTACACCACCACTGTGAAGTGTGAAAGGTTTAAAATTTAATCACCGAAGATGTTTTTGGATTGAGCATCACTCAAATGATACTCATTTAAAACTTATGATATTCTCCAATGAAGAGTTAATAAAAAATCTAACTGAAAGGTGCCAATCGTTGGTGAAAATTCATGTCTAATAAGATCAGCGTATTTTTTATTTCTGACATTGATACTAATTGTGGAATATCTGTATGTTTTGTCCTACATTATTATGTTTGAATTTCCATAAAAACTAAGAAGAGGAGCCATTTGATCAAACTGATAGTTTCAAGTCTTTGGCAAAAGTAGAGGATTTGAAGCATATACCTTTTGGAGTAACAAGAAAGAAGGTTTAATCCGCCTACTCATCGTATTAAATTACCGTCACCGTTTTGGACGATTGTAAGGCATTAACACCACCCCCGCGTCGTTTTCTGTTCACCGATACTCTTTAATGTGCGAATTAATAGCTTCCAGACACAATAAATAATATTATCAAGTCCTTCCCGGGAGGCTGCTACATTCATACATTAACGTATCTTCACTTCCCGTTTGTTTTTCTCACCGCTTCAATACGTACCAGTGGCGTACAGAATTTAACGTAACGTTTATAGTACAGTCATTTGGTTACTTGGAAAGTTTTCCGGGAGTTTCGAAAATTGATAGTTTTATAGATTTTGAGGTGCTCTTTCCTGATTTCAACTCAAAAAAAACTCATTTTCACACGACCTTGAGGTAGGCTAAGCAGCGGTTTTTTTCTTCTTCACGACGAATGTTTTCTTTTAACCTAGCGACATTCCTCTGAATATTGATGTAAACCTTGCTCTTAAGATATCTGAACAGGAAACAGTTCATGGGGGTTAAATCGGTTGATCGCGAAGGTCATGTATCACCAAAGCGGGCATCAACTTTAGAGGAAACAGCTCACGAAGTTGGTCCACAGTTCTTGCAGTGTGGAAAGTGGCCCCGTCCTGCTGAAACTAGCTTTGTTACCCTGTAGCAGCATATTTTCAAAGGCGAGATATAAAATAACTGGATATCATTTGTTGATATGCATCACCAGTAACTGCTGTTATTGCACTTCTTGAATTTAAAAGAATACGGCTCGATTATCGGCTGACAGAGCAGAACATACTGTCACTTTTAGGCTATTCAGTGGTGTTTGATATTTTTGCCTGGAATTGATAGGTGACTAGAAGCGACAATTCTGTTTACTTATTCACATATCCATTCAAATGGAAGTGTGCTTCATCACTCCAAAACACACTATTCAAAGTGCGAACTCTCAGTCTGAAATAAGCTTTTTCGTAAATTGTGATTCCGTTATAATCTGCACTACCTGGATTTTATAGGAATAAAATTTCAGATCACGCTTTACGTGTTGATAGCCGAGGATTACGACAAACGCTAGCTGCATCTTCATTTATTGTTTCTTCAGTTCTTGAAGTTCTGCTCGGACCCCGATGTGACTGATTTATGGAGGAAGGTGTAGCTGGAAACTTCT